CTCATAGCGACCTGTGAACGACAGAACGAGACACTGCCATGTCTTGCGCCAATCTCACAGTTGTTGTTACGCTTGAGTCGACTGCTGCCGCCACTGTGCTCACCCATCCCACTGGAGGTCTTCCTGGTTAGCAGTATGACTCTATTTCTTTGATTTTGTTTCTCTTTTAGAAAAATGACAGTAAGAATTTTTATTTTCCTGGATTTTTCATAGCCAATCTCCTTCATAGAACCTTTGAATTTTATAAGTAAAGGTCTTTGGGGGGAAAGTTAATAAGGTCACAATCACAGCTTTGAAGTATCATTATTCTTAGATCTGAGCATTTATAACAAAGGCAGGAGGAGGAAGCCTGATGGTAGGATAGAGGTCTCTAACAACAATGGCTGTCTTCATTGAAGTCATTGAAGATACATTTGTGTTTAAGTGCTTGCTTATTCTGTGCTAGACTCTAAACACTGAGGTACAGGGGCCAAATGGCAAATGGGGCCCAGCCTTCCTGGAGTTTACACTCCAGGAGGTGAGGGGGAAGGGGAAGATAAGGAAGGCAGTGAACCTAAAACAGGGTTACAAATGAGATCTGTCCCTATCTGTGTCTATTAAGACTCCTAGGTCAGTAGGAACAGGCGCATATGGTTATTTAGCCTCTTGGGCAAGAAAAGACTCAAAGCTTTCTCAATGATTTAAAAGTTAAATGTATAGCTGCTTCTTCAAAACCCTGTACAGGGTCACTGGGAACCCATGTAACATTAACAACAAGGGATTGTTTCAAATATTTCAAAGTGTGGGCAAATTTACATATCATTAAAGTGCAATTACCAGTTGTTCATGGACTCCTGGTATGGCACTGTAGGATCAGCACTGGACTGGGAACCACAAGGTCGGCTGTTCAAACCCACTAGCCGCTCCTCGGAAACCCTATGCAGGGTCGCTATGAATGGGAACTGACTCAACGACACTTAGCAACAGCAACTAGTTGTCCATAATTCTCGTGTAAATCAGATGTTTATAATCCAAGGACTTCTGTTCACAATTAGAAATTGTGGTCCTCGCTCATAAAAATAAGGAACCCTGGTAGCGTAGTGGTTATGAATTGGGCTGTGAACCTCAAGGTCAGCAGTTTGAAACTACCAGCTGTTCTGCTCCCATAAATATTTACAGCCTTGGAAACCCTGTACAGGGTCGCTATGAATTGGAACCGGCTCCATGGCACATAACAACAACTCATAAAAATAAGAGGTTTCTGTGAGTGAGAGTAACAAGGAGTCTAGTTAAGTTTGGTGAGCTGTTAAAGATGATCTTGCTGAGGAAGTGACTTTTGAGCTGAGACCTTAAGGATGAGTCAGATTTTTCTGGTGACGATGGTGGGGGGAAGGGGAAGATAAGCTTTCTAGACAGAGACCTGAAACCTATGCTCTAGAAGCCAAACAAACAAACAAACAAAAGCAAAAACAAAAATACAACTCAACTCATAACACCTTTCTCCCTGAGACTCTCTCTTTGTAATTGATTTTCTACTTTCAGATTGTGGCCCTTACTGTTCATATTAAGAATAATGTAATCTTGTCTGTCACCCACATTCCCTCCCCTCTACCCTACCCTTCCCTCCCAGGCCCTGCATTCAAGCACTTAAAAACACAAGAAGGCTGTATCAGTGCATGTGAAGCTACCTTATTATATTTTTGGTAACATGGGATCATGATTTCTCCTATGTCAAAACTATTATGGTGAGATTAAACGAATGAAAGCCATTTAGAGCAACATCTGGTACGTGGTAAGACACGTCAACTTATTATTTCAGTATATGTGTGTGCTCTTAATTTACTGAGTTTCCTTGCTAGGCCTTGATGCCACTTCTGTTGCAAATAATGCTGTCCTCTCTAATATCTAAATACTGGATTTCATTGGCTAAAGACTGCAGTTAAAGGCAAGCAGGTGGTTTCCTCCTCATTCTCTGGTTCTCTTAAGATTTGTCTCCCTGGGTGGATCCAGCCAGCCAGCTTTTGTTATCCAAGTCTTTACTCTGAAACTTCCAAGCATTGTCCTGTTAGGGCTGTGATAGGCAACCATTCCGGAAAACTGTTCCTTTACACACCCACACGCCCACACACAGCTGTGCCTCTGAAAACACTGCTGAGTTCTCTCTCCTGGCCCACTCTTAAACCTCTGCCTTTATTAGTTCTCTGTACTGTTCCCTGACTTCAAGTTCTAGCTCGAAACGAATTAATTGTACAACCTTGGATAAACCACTGACTTCTGTTGTCTGAGGATCATGGGGTAAAACTGATGTAAAAGTGTAAATTATGCTTTGAGCCTCTCATCTGGTTCCCCCATTTCTTATTCCAATTTACCTCTACAGCGGTTCGCCTGCCTACTAAGGAAAAAAACTGCATTTGCTTAGGTTACTATTAAATCTCTAGAATATATTATTCATCCATTTGCCAAAATTAAATATATACACATGCAAAACTGTTCTATGCTGTTAGAAGCCAAGATGGAGTGACTGGGATGGGGCATGAAGAGGACTTGGAGCAAATTGATCCAAGTTCTGTCTCTTGATCTGGGTGCTGGTTACAGGGGTCACTTATAAAAATTCATCAAGATGTAAAATTTTTAAATATTTGCACTTTCCTGTAGGTATATTATACTTCAATAAAAAATAAAATGTACAGATGAGTATATAGGGATTTCTATTCCCCAGACACCCTTGGGAGGCAATGCTTTTCTATGTACAAATAGGTTTATGAATATATGTTCATTTTTTTCTTTATACAAATGACAGCCTGTTATGCACGCCAGACGGTTCTGAGTCTTGCTGTTTTTCACTGCGTGATAGAGGTTAAGGATCATTTCATACCCTTACATATGGAAGAGATCATTGTTTTGTCTTCATTGTTGCAATCCTGGTGCACAGCAGGATGCCTAGCATAGAAATGTACTTATTAAATAAGGCTGCTTTCTAGAGGAGTGTCTGTTTGCAAAATGCTGCAACTGTAACTCTGCATGGGGTGATGAACTCAACCACACTCTGGTGAAAGGATAAAACACCAGATCCAAGTACCAAGGGTTTCTTTTCTGTTTTGCAGTTCACCCAGGGCATCCTGGAGTTTCTATTGCACGGATACAGAAAAGAGGTGAAGTCACACGTTGGTTTTAAAGTACTAGAATAAGCATCAGAACCAAAGTCCTGGTGTGACGCCATGGGTTAATGCGCTGGACTGCAAGGTCGGTTTGAACCACAAAGTTGGCGGTTCAAGCTCACCAGCCACTCCTTGAAAACCCTATACAGGGTCGCTATGAAAACCGGATATAGGGTCGCTGTGAGAATCACTGTGAGTCGGAATCGACTCGACAGCACTTAACAACAGGCATCAGAACCAAGGGCAGCCTTCTCCATTGTCTTTGGGTCTCTCTCATTGAAGCTCTGTTAGCGTAGTGGTTAGGAATCGGGCTGCGAACCTTAAGTAAGGTCTGCAGTTCGAAACTACCAGCAGGTCCGCGGGAGAAAAGATAAGGCTTTCTGCTCCCCTAAAGATTTACAGCCTTGGAAACCCTGTACAGGGTCGCTATGGGTCGGAACCGACTCAATGGCACTTAACAACAACAACATTGGGTTCCAGGGATTCAAGATTGGAGATGGTAGTGCTAGGTGGCCACGTTAGCCCTTAGGACTAGCTGTGGCACAAACTTGTTCATTGGATTCCTTTTGGAATCTTTACCTTTGGCATTGTTGTTAAGTGCCATCATGGAACGATGCAAACATATCTCAGACTTAGCCCTGTGCACCCTGCGTCCCCACAGCTATCTCGAATCCTGTAAAACCCCCTAGTTCTCTGCTACGCTGGCCCGAGTAAAATTCAAAGGCTTTCTTTCAAAGGCTGCGTGATTCCTGAATGAGGTTCAAAATCGGATGTTGTTTTTGTGAGCGACTAAAATTAGCTAGACTGATGATGGACTACAGGATACAGCTGGCAAGGAGAGACTGACAGATGGGGCCACGATTAGCTGCGTCTTGTTCTTTTCCACCTGAGCATCGTGGAGCTGACGAGGTAACATTTCAGTGTACAAACGGCATGGAGATAGTCAAGATGCTCGTCAGACCATTTTCAAACTCCAACATACAGTACTCTCTCTCTCCTCCATGAAGCTTAGTTTAACCTTTTCTAAAATCCACACTTCCTTCCTCCTGCAGTCCAGCGTCTCCTCGGGTCCAGCCCCGCAGCCCCTCCCTCGCCCTGGGTGCCTCCCGACCCCCATCCTCGGCTTCTCCCTTCGCTCCTCCCGCCTCTTCCCCCGCGTACTCTCTCTGTCTCCCCCTCCCGGACGACGTCCTCGTTCCGCCAGGCCCTGCTCGCCTCCTGTTTGTGAATGAGACGCTCACTTTCTCAATGGAGCCGCGGAAGGTTCGGGCGGCCGCAGCGTTGGCTCTAAGCCGGGAGGGGGGCGCATTTTCCTTGCTCCCTCCCTCTTTCCCTTCCTCTCTCGGCCGCCGCTTTTGAGGAACGAGGCGGAGAGGGGGCCACGCAGGTCGCCGGGACCCGCATCCCAGAGGACGCCCGGATCGGGCGGCCTGGAGGCTCCGGAGTGTCCGTGCTATCTGCGGGTGTCCAGCGCCGCGGAGGAAGCCGGATCCGGAGGTGGTCGGCGGCGGTCGGCGGCCTACGGGAGATTTCCGCCGCTGCTCCTTCGCTTCGGGCTTGGAAACTTCTTTATTTCAAGTCTTCTTTTTTAATCCCGATTGACTACTAGCTGGCTCTCTTGCACTACCCCCCCCCCGCCCCCCACTTCGCGAGTAGAGGGGGAGTGTGAGGAAAAGAGCGAGGAAAAGAAAAAAGGATTTCCGCCCAGAAGGGAGCGACAGTTGGGAGAGATTTTTTCTCACGAAAACAGAAGCGGCGTTTGCAGCCGCAGCGGGCGCACGGGCCCCGCGAGCCGGACCATGCGCGAACCGGCCTCCGGCTGCTGAGCGCGGGACGCGGAAGCGGAGGCGACAGCCCGGGCTCCCCGCGCTCCCGGGCGAGTTCTGTCCGCGGGGTGGCAGCGGGATGGAACCCGCGACCGCGCCCCGCTCCGACATGGCGCCGGAGCTGACTCCCGAGGAGGAGCAGGTAAGCCGGGTCGCGGCGGCTGCGGTGGGTGTGTCCGGGCCCCCGAGGCCTAGGCCGGCCTCTGCTTCCCGAGGCCCTGTCCCGACAGCGTCCCCGTTCTAGCCCGGGCCTGCGGGGTCCCCTCCCCCCGACCGCGCCCAGTGTCGTCATCCTCCGAGACAGGGGGCGCCGCTGGACCCTGCCCCTGCCCCTTGCCTCTTTTGTCCCCGAGGCCTATGGGCCTTCTGCTGCACCCCGCTATCCCGGTGGTAATTAAAGTTCTCGAACTAGAAAGTGGGGGTCTCCCTTGTCCTCCGCCTCCCTCCCACCCTCACGTTTGCAGAACACCCAGCCGGTCCTTCCACTCCCCATAAATGTTATGCAGTTTTCCGTGAAGGTTTGTGCGTTTTTACGGGCAGGAAAAGCCTCAGTATAAGGGATGCACAGATGCCCTGGGTTTTCAGATGAGCCCCTGCAGCTGCTTCAGAGGCCATGGCAGGGCCGCCCTGGGCCGGTTCTGGAAGGTCCAGGCCTTCTCTTGCTCCTGGCCTTGGCCTCCCTATTCAGACACTCCGGTTTGAGTGCATCCCCTCACCCCCACTTCCCTACCCCGATCTCTTCCAGTTGCTGCCTCCATCTTTCCGAAACCTACATTGAGCTCCATTGTCCCTTAAAGCTTAGGATCTGCAATCCCCAGTAGGAAGTGGTTTGCGGTATCAATTTGGGGGCTTGGGGAAGGGAAAAGGTCAGGGTCCTTAAAACTTTCCCTCCCCCACGTTCCAGCTGTAGAGAGACACTGGGCACTACTGAGGCAGATGGGAAAGGCTGCTAGCCGAGATTAGGGACTTTGAAGGCTTCTCGCTGTTTATTCCTTGCCCATCTCCAGCCTTATCTATGCTCAAATATAGCTATAGTTAGAGTCCGTGTTTAAAAAAAATAAAATTTTTTTTACCTGAAGATAAGAAAATGGTGAATATTGAAAGCTGTCCAGCCCTTTTTCCAGGGACCACATTTGTTAACACAGTCTCTACTGTGGAAGTAGCTCTAGTTTTACAAACTCATACTAGCTAATGGGTTTGTTTAATACCGGATCTTTTTAAAGTCCTTGACTTTTCTCCTCATTTGTGGAGATGACATGTTTGGCCTCAGATCACTGTCTTGTCTTTTGATGCCTTGAGATTAAAATCAGCATGGAAAAAAAAAAAAAAGAATTCTGTTGCGTACAAGAAATGGTAACATCCTGGTAACTGCAGTTGAGTGTTCATGAAATACTAATCCGGACCTAATGCAAGCAGATGGCCTAGGAGCCTATCCTGTCAGAATTAGTGAAATACTTCAGTATTAAGGTGTGATGTGTTCAGTTGATTTTAAAAGGGCAAATCCCTTTCACCTAATTTTCCTTGGACTAGTCAAGTTTGAAGTTTCTATGTTTCTAAGATTTAAAAGCAGCAGTATGCTACTATGAAAACGGCATTAGGTTGCAAATGAAAACCAGGGAAAGCAAATATTAGAGTATTGATAAGGATATTAACTTGATCTTATTCTGTATATAGTGTGTATACATACATACATACAGGTATTGTTTAATAGAAATCTTAATTTTCACATTAGGATGAATGCAATGGACATTAAACATTACTGGATAGAAACAGTATAACATTCATAGGTTAAGGTCAAGAGATTTTATATGTATATATATATAGATAGATACATTTTAAATCATACCTCTTGTTTTCTACAAAATGTTGTTTTCTCTATGCATCTCAAAATGTTGAAACACAAACATGAAAGCTGCATAGATGGTTTGATGATGCCTAGTAATCTCACCATTTAGTTTACTATCACATAAGGGAGTACACTCTTAACTATAAAGATCTTTAAAATATTTAAGTTAAACAGGAGCACATTAACCTCATCAAAGTAGTTGTAATGGGAAATTACGTACTCATTCCATAATGTTGCCCCATTGCTCAAACCAGTTTTGGAACTTATTTGGAATTGATTTCAAAACTCTGTCAAAATCTTGGAAATACCTTCACTGTTGGAAAATCCTTGTGCTTAAAAGCAATCAATTTGGTTTTGGGAAATAGCAAAAAAAAAAAAAAAAATCTGCTAGTGACTGGCGGAACTTCCACAAGACTGTGTCCTTTAGACACTCTTCAAACCTGAAGCTGAGCCAACTGTGGCATCACATTTCAGCCAAGCAATAGCCTATAAAGCCAATAGCAATACTTGTGAGGAACATGCTTCTCAGAACAATCAATAATATGAGACCAAAAGAGTAGCATTTGCCTCAAAACTACAGTTCAAACAAAAGGGAAGATGGATAAGTGGAAACGGGAAACCCAGGGAGGAAGTGGGAAGACCGCTGTTACATTGAAGGCATTGCAACATAAACTGTTTTTTAAAAAAGAAATGAAATCTCTTGGAACCCAATTTCATAGGTAAGGTAGCAAGGGATCAAACTGAGTTAACTCAGTTTTAGGCAAAAGTGAAATGCAGTTGTCCTTTTTAATGTGTGTAAGCTGATCTAAAGAATTTTTTGAGGGAGATCCTTCTGGAATGGGTACCTTCTTCCCATCCAGTTATGCAAGTCCAAGACTTTTACCTTATATGAAAAGCCAGAGTCAAATTGCAAATCACAAATCTGGTTGCATATTTCCTCAACCTGTCTGCCCTCAAAATAAGCATTCATTCAATCTTCAGTGACTTTCTAATGCTCTTGAAAGCCAGGTTACAACTCTAATAGGGTTTACAGCATTTAGAACCTTACTGCTTCTGCACATCTCTGCTCCAGGCTCAGTGACCTTTTTGGTCCTGCATTCTTGTCGTGTTTCCTCTTGCTGTAGGGTCTTGGCACAAGCTGTTTCCCTCAGTTTAGAAATACCTCCCACTGTTCACTCCCTTTTCATCCTTCAGCTCTCAGTTTTCACTTCCTGAGGAAGGCCTCTCTTGATCTCCTTAACTGGGTTAGATTTCTTGCTACTGGCTCTGAGGATCCACGTACCTGCCCTTCACAGCGCTTAATCACAGATAAAAGTTTAAGCTTAATCACAGCTACAGCTGTAAGCTCCCTGAGAACTGAAACTGTGTCCTAGGTCATCGTTTAGCATAATGACTAGCACATAGGGCATTCTGAAAACACTGAGGAATGAATGAAAAGTAGTTCTGCATGTGGCTAATTTTTAAGGACTTTGCTTACTTTGATATCTAGTTTGATTTTGGGGGGAGGGTCATCTTTTTTTAGAATTTTTAGTATGAATTGGGTGAAGGTTTATAGAGCAGATCATCAGTTTTATATTCAACAGTTCATACATTTTGTTTCATCTCATTAATTGCAATCCCCTTAATGTACCTTCACTTATCCTACTTCCTCCCTTCTAGTCCTTCTCCTTTCCTAACTCTTCTGAACTTGTCCTTGGGTAAATGCTGCCCTTTTGATCGCAGATGGTTGATTATTCTAAGGTGTGTGTACCTCTCCAGTGTTTGTATTCCCTTTATAGACCTGTCTATTGTTTGGCTGGAGTCCTGGTGCGCCACTGTGGGTTAATGCCTCAGACTGCAAAGTCCTTTGAACTGCAAGGTCTTAAGGTTCAAGCTCACCAGCTGCTCCTTGGAAAACCTATTCAGGGTCTTTATGGGTCCGAATCGACTTGGTGGCACTTCACAACAACAACATTGTTTGGCTGAATTGAGCCATGGGGATGACTTCATTTCTAGATGGGAAGAGTGACTAAGGGCCATTGTCTTGGGGGTTCCACCAGTCTCTATCTGACCAATAAGCCTGGTCTTTTATATGATTTTGAGTTTTGATCCACATTTTCCTCTTACTCTATCCATGAGTTCTTAATGTGATCCCTTTTAATGCAATTGGTAATGGTAGCTGGGCACCATCTAGATCTTCTGGTCTCAAGGTCATGAAGACTGATGTTCATGTGATTCATTGGACTAATTATTTGTATATGTTTTTGATTTTTATCACTCCTTTCCCTTGGACAACGAGAAGCCAATGATTGTACCTTAAATGGCCGCTCATGATGAGCTTTTAAGATCCCAGTTGCTGCTCACCCAAGTAGACTGTAGAACATTGTTCTCTGCGTACTGTGTTATGCCAGTGGACCTTGGTGACGCCCGAGACTATGGTTCTGAGCCCCCAGGTCCAGAGAAAGTTGTCATTATTGTTTCATAGCTTAATTTCCCATCTACTCATGTGTTGAACTGATATACCAAATCCTCATTTGTAACTCTGATGTTTCTTGACTTTGTAGTTTTCAGTTCTCAATAATTGTAGAGTCTGCAGTTGGCTTACAAGAAAAAATAGGCTCTGTCCTTAAGGAGCAAAGGTGGATAGCAGTAACTTTTCTGAGTTCCTGCCTCCAGTTAGACTCTGTGCATTTCACATGCAGGTAATCCTCACAAGATTGGAATTAGTATCCTCATTTTGCATACTAGAACAATCAGACAGAGACGATTACCCAGATTTCCACCTGTGTCTGTGTCTTTCTGCCTCCATGACCAATGTACCCTTTATTATATGACATCACTTCCCAAGAAGCTAGTGGCCAGTTTTTGCTCAGATGCTTAAATAGGGACATTGTTGTTAAGTGCCATCGAGTCGATCCCAACCCACAGCAACCCTCTGTAGGGTTTCCGAGGAGCCGCTGATGAGCTTGAACCGCAATCTTGCAGTTCAAACGGCTTTGCAATCTGGCACATTAACCCACAGTGCCACACCAGGACTCCTTATATGGATTTTGGTATTGATATGTATGTTTGATTTTAGTGACACTTCTTAAATAAAGTACAGTGCAAAAGATGCAGAAAAAGAGGGAAAAATGGAAGGCCTTTACTCAGAATGATGTATTGCCAGTAGATGTACATTTTACAGTCTATGTAAGGAATTGTGTTGAAATCACTGTTGTGTGTGTGTGGGGGGTGTTCTTTATGACAGAGTTGGCAACTCTCCATTTGTAAGTGTGATCACAATCAGAATTCTGTTTTCTTTGCATCTCTTTCTTTTG